GTATGTGGGTGCCGTAACCTCGGTGAAGCTCTCCGTCGTATTGCCGAGGGTGCCAGCATGATCCGTACCAAGGGCGAGGCCGGCACTGGTAGGCAAACCTCTAACCATTGTTGACAGTATCGTAAACCTTCTACTTATAGGTAATGTTGTCGAGGCTGTCCGTCACATGCGAACTGTCAATAGGGAGATCCGCATCCTCCAAGCTCTGGAGGATGATGAGGTCTTCACCTTTGCCAAGCAGATTGGTGCTCCCCTTTCCCTTATCGAGGAGACCCGAAGTCTTGGTCGTTTGCCTGTGGTCAACTTCGCGGCTGGTGGTGTTGCCACTCCTGCTGATGCCGCTCTCTGCATGCAGCTCGGTGTTGATGGTGTATTCGTTGGCTCTGGTATCTTCAAGTCAGACAACCCGGAGAAGCGTGCTCGTGCTATCGTCCAGGCCGTTACTCATTTCAAGGACCCTAAGGTGAATACTCTACTACTCCTGCATAACGTATAGTCCTTGGAACTGTTGTTGTATAGATCGTCGCTGAGGTGTCCGAGGACCTCGGTAAGCCTATGACTGGCATCAACTGTGATGAGCTCAAGGTCCGCTTTGCCGAACGTGAGGGTGGTAACATGCCTACTACCAATGGCAAGGAGGATAAGCAAGTCATCAAGGGTAGCAACTACTGAGAGCATTAGTCAAGTCGATGTGCCTCGTCGTCGCTTCAGGTACTTCCCTTGCTGATATTGAGTAACTACTCGGCATATAGAGCTACTCAATGTTAGTTATCGTTTGGTATTAACATCCTCTATCACTACTTATGAAGGTCTCCAACTAAACTTTGAAGGTGCTGTTTCTTGGGTATTCTACATAGCTCACATATTTGGTTTAGTTGTAATATTCAGTCCTTGGATATAATCAGGAGCAGCAACTTGTAGTGTTCCGTATTGACTATCTCGGAACACAATCATTCCATCCTCATCACTCCTATGGGGTAGAGTGTATATAATCTTAAGAAGGGACTGGTTCTCGACTCTGCTGTTAACAGCGGCCACTCAAGCTCTGTGGTT